TTTTATGACTTATGAGGATAGAATGGCAATACTATATTTTCAGCCGTTTAAGCCAATTTTTAGCTGGCGAAAAGATCGGCTAAACCAAGATTTTAGCCGAAAATGATCACTTTATAACTGCTCAAATTTGGAAGAAACTAATATAAATTAAAACGACTTAATTTTAACGGATATTCTCTGACAGGCGCCTGAAGATTGAGCCGAATTAGCCGACTTTTATCTAATACCCAACTATACTTATGAGCTATTTATATAACTGTTTCGAAATTTATTCTAATCCGATTTGACTTGATTCTATTCGAAATTTATGAAGACGAATAACAAATTTGCATTAAATTCGTATAATAATTTTTTTTTTAAATTTTGATAAATAATTAATATGAATAATCGTAAATTAGTAAATATTTGTTATTCTTTAATTTTTAGAATTATATGCAAATGTTAAATTAAAGCCACTTCAAAAAAATATTTTATTATATCTGACATTTGAAGTTATGATTTTTTTTTTGACTGGGATTATTACATTTTTTTTTGAAATTTCCTAAAACTAAATAAAAATAACAGGAAATTATAGAAATCTTCTACATAATTTTTATAAGCACAAATATGTTTAACAAAAATTGCATGATTCTAAATAGGAAAAAGAATTCGGAAAACTGTATGCCTGAAAGAATAGATTTTTTAAATATTATAATTGAATTCGATTTTCTGGGCTCTGGGTGCATAGTAACGAGAATTCTTATTCTAAATTTTTGCCTGAAACTAGTTATATTTTAGGGATTGTAACTGTAAATGATTATTATTTTTTTGAATGGCTAATTTTTCTTAAAGTTTAAAAAAAAATCTTGTTTGTAATTCTTCTGCAAAAATCAAATTTTGTCAGTTATTATTGTAACATTTTGAGGAATTTTTTTAAAGATTGAGAGATTACAACCGTTGTCAAAAAAAGAAAGGTTAGAACTAAAATGATACTAAATCAGACTAATATCCTCGATTATATATACTTTTCTATAATATTCGTCAAATAAAGAAAAGTTAGAACTAAAATGATACTAAATCTTTATTGAATAATAAGATAAAAACATAATCAAAATAAATTAATATAAATTAAAATTAAAAATTAAGGATTAAAAAAATTAAGTTCGTAAAATCATAATTTTATCCTTTATTCAAAATTATAACATTATCAAATTAACAAAATTATAAAAGTAAAAATAATAAAAAAAATTAATAAAATAAAATACAAAAAGTTAATAATTATAAAATTTCATTTTGTATGGTAAAAATTGGCCTTTTTATACTTTTTTCAATCTTCTTTATAACTAATATTCATAACTATTCAAATATATTATTTTTATCACGCGTTATAATAATAACTCCAAAAGAATTCTTTATGCAAATTAAATATAAAGTACAAATTTAACTAATCTAAAATTTACAACAATTATTGGCTAAAATTTTATAGTAGTACTCATTAGTGATCTGCATCGGGCCTAATTTTTTTAAAGCCCGATTTTTTTTCAAAATAATTTGTCCTGTTATGCACCATCCCGAACAAATTTTTTTATTTATCACAAAAAGCCAGACCCGAAATAAAAAATTATATTTATTTGGCCCAACCCGAAACCCGTTCGAGCAGGATACGATACTCATATCTAACGTAGTGGATCAGTAAATCTTTAATAGAACAATTTTATAACCCTAGTTTATAAATTTTGAAAGATCTGATTATGTGGAAATTGTATTCCAACAAGTATAAGAGAGTACCTACTCTATGAATATTAAACTTTTGTTGTAAATTATTTACACTTAATTTATAATTTCAAATTAACTTTAAAAAAGACAAATATTTATGGCGAAATTGTGTGAAACTCACATGGTATTTTGTTGGAGTTATGATTGCGACAGAATCAGGTATTTCAAAATATTAAAAATACGAGCATTTTAGAAGATTTAAATCTGATTCGAGTCTATAAAATGTAGTCCCGAAATACCAAATTCATAAAAAAAATTTTCCTTAAAGTTAAAGTTGATATTGTTTAATGCTTTAAGCTATATCAGAAACCTATAAAGGTACTATTTGCACAGCACAGCATGGACCGGTGGGGTAATATACTTATTAACATTATCACTTTAAATAATTAAAGTAACAATAATGTAAATATCTATAACGTTAAAGGCAGAGATCAAAATTTTAACGAATATCGGTTTGGTTCAAGTTTAGGTTCAAATAAAAACACCGCTTCATGGCTCAGGTTAGGTTAGGTTTGGCTTGAACCTTCAAAAATCGGATCAGACCTTTTTATCAAAATGGCTTATCTATTAAAATATTATTAAACCGTTATACAATTATAATATTTTCAAGATTTTCCTATCAAGTTATATCTGTAAGGTAGGAGAATAAGCTTTTTAGGACTGAGAAAACTTCTATATGCCTATTTGGGTAGCTGGCACCATCAAATGAGATATAGAAAAAAATATTTAAAAAATTTAAATAATAAATATTATTTCTTGGTTAAAAAAAAGCGATGATCAATCATCTTTAAAAGAGTTAAAATATCAAAGGGTTCAAACAGGTTAACGGGCATTTCTGGAGGTTCGCGGTGCAGATTTTCCGAATTTTTTTACGGTTCTATATAATAGCGGTCAATATCAATTTAACAGTTCGGTTCGGTTTACCCTGATTGAAGAAAATATTCAAGTTTTTTTTTAATAAAAATTTTAATATTTGAAACATTTTTCTTTAAATAAATATATCGCTGTAAAAAAAATGCTAGCAATTCTACGAAACTCAAGGAATTGAAATTAGTTGAATCCAATGTGAGAGTGCTTTTTAAGATTAGACTATTATGACCTAGTCATTAATGTATGACTAAAATTTAGAAAAGGAATTTTGAGGTATAATGGTAAAATTTCTATTTGAGATTAAAAAATATATATCGCAGCTTGAAGTTGTTAGAATTTATTACAATAAATTAAGGATCTTTAAAAAAATTTATTATAATTCCCTGCTGGAATTAAAATCGGGAAATTCTACTTAATTTACAGATGGCGCGCTGTACTGAAAGAAATATGGCGAAGCATTAAAGAGCTATATAATTTATCTCTGCTTTTTTAGGCTATATTTTCAAAATAAAAAGAAAGTAAGGAAGTAATGAGAAAAGTCTTCGAGAAACTAGATTTATCCGTTTTCAGCAGGATAAAAATATAGTAATTATTCGACTATGCCTAAAATGTTGATAAAATGTTTTATGTTTGAGAGAGTATAGTTCGTCATTACTTTCAAAATGTTAATTAGAAATTCCGATCAAATTATTAGATGAAATACGACAAGATAGTTTAGACAAATTATAAGGAGAAATCTATTTTAAAAAAAGAGGAAATCAAATTCTAAGAGTCTATTATTGATATCTTTTACAATTAGCAAAAAATTTTATTAATATATTTTTTATTTAAAATTTTGAACTAGGGTGTCAATAGCTGGGTTAGGTGCTAAAGCACTTCAAAAAATGAATTAGCATTCTTAAAAAAATTAACAAACAATAAGCGCCAATTAAAAAGCAATCTTACAAAATTTAACTCATTTTAAATGATATTAATTTCCACGTGGTAAAATAATTTTATTAATTTAATTTTCTTCCTTTCGCCTTAAGCAAAAACATAATGGGGTAAAATTAGACATTATATTATGTGAGAAAAGGTATGTAATCTAATGATCTGCATTTTCAGATATATAATATAATCTATTTACCTAAAATTATTTTATATATTATTATTCTATTAAATGATGGTACACATCAAAATGAAATAAAACCTAAAAATAAAACATGTTACGATTATTTAAATTCAATATATATTCATTTTTTCACTGATTTTTGAGCATACAAAAAGTTGTGCTCATTTTCTTATTAATTTAACATTCATTTTTGAATGAGTCTCATTTTAATTCTGGAAAGTAAAACAAAAAGTCAAACTTGTTAAAAATTCTATTTTAATGATAATTGGGGTTATTTTCGGATTTTTTAATGAGAATAAGTCATTTGAGTTGATTCTGTCTTTGTGTTAGATATTATTTTGGGTAGCGAATACATGCATAATATAATTAATTTTAGTAAAATATATAAATCTAGGATTCGTTGGATCTCTAACCGGGCAAAAGCTGGCCAGAGGCCTGCCAAAGAAAGCTATGGGGGAGGTGAAGCCCCAAGAATGTATCTAAATGGAGTAAATAAATTTAAACACTTTTTAAAAAAAATTAGCATCTTTTAGCTATTTTTTTGAAAATCTAACAAAACCCTGATTCTGAATATATCCTAGTTTAATGAACTCTTTTCTAAGTGTCTTATGAGGATTTTATAAAAAGCAATTTTATATCAAGAGTAGAGGACATTAATCTAGCAGCATCACACAAAGAGGGGGATCGGGGAGGGGGAGGGGGGTCGTGCTTCTTGGGAAATTTGGAAAGCCTTCTGTAAATTTTGAAAATTTTTTTATATCCAAAAAAAAAAGTTAGCTAAAAATAAGTAAGTCATTTTAAAAATGTTAACCAAAAAAAGGTTATTTTTAAAATAATTCTAAAAAATTTATTTTCCCCTGAGATGTTAAAGTCTAGTGATGGAAGCCCTTAAATGAATCCGAAATTGATCTTAAAAAAATATTTTTAAAAATAGTGTGACTAGTTCCCCTAACTTTGGCCATGATTTAGAGAAAATTTTCTGGATAAATATTTAGCTTCGTCATTTAGCAATTTATTAAAGATAGATAATTTAACAATTCTATGTCCGATTAGGGGAGGGAACCCCCCACCTCTTCCTCCATTAGATGGTTTCGCTTTCGAGATAAGGTAGTCGATTTCTTTATGTTCAAATAAATAATATTATGAGATTAGAAGGCATAATATGCGTAACTATTAAAAATTATACCGCCTAATTTCAAATAATATTAGAGGGTGGCACAACCAAGGTAACGTAAAGCCTTACATCAAACAAAAAACATAAAATAATCTATCCATGTCCATATCCAAATTTTTTTTCACATTTTATGAATATTTTTAATGGATTTTACATCTGATATTAACTTTTCTCTAGATGACATACAAGGTAAATTAGTATGTACAAATATATTTTGATTTATTTACATTAATTTATTTGAAATTATCAATTATGGCTTAAAAGCGATATTATTAGATATGTATTTATAAATTATTCACAAGAAAATAATTCAGATTTTTATGATAGATTTAAGAAGATATGTATTATTTATTGATTCTTATTTAATACTCAATCTGTTTTAAAAACTTTACCTAAAAAGTATAAATATTTTTCAGAAAAATGCTTTACCCTAAAATAAAAGCAAAAAATTAGAAATAAATAAAAAAAATATATATTATGGTGCTCTGCTGATCCACAAATTTTTCATTGAACTATTATTCCCTTTGATACTGATCCGATTATTTCCATCTAATCTTTGGACCAATGTTATAAAAAATTAATTAATTAAAGCAGTGGCGTAGCTACGGGGGTGGTTTTCGGGTTTGGACCCCTCCCAGAGCAAAATTTTTTTTTAGATTATACGTTCAAAAGACTTAAAAGTGAAAACCATTAATATTTATATTTTTCTGATTTTGAGGTCTGTGGAAGGATATTATATTACTATTCTGGATAGTATTATTTTAAAGTCTTTGAGAATAAATTATAATAACATATTATTTATGCATTTAAAAAATATATTTAATATATATTATCGAAGATATGGTTATGATTTTTAGGATAAACCTGGCCAGGTTTTTATATTTATGGACCCCCTCTAAGGAAAATTCCTAGCTACGCCACTGAATTAAAGGATTGAGTGTATTTTGTTTTATTCTCTAAAAAGTTTAACTTATTTAAAATTCAATGCTTGTGGCTGAATGTTTAGGACCAAAATAATATTATCTAATCAAAATTTGCCAATATATTCAAATCTTTCTATCATCTGTGAGCAAAATCTCTAAACTTGGGTAATTTTATTTTGGCTAAAATCTTGAGTTAACCATTTTAAAAAATTGAATAAATCGAGTTATACATGTGACTTGTTGGATATTTTTAAACACTTTTCTTGTACATATATTATAACAAAACATGATACCAGATTTTTAGCTACGTTAATTTATTATTAATGTTGTTAAATGGTTTTATTTGGCCTATTTTAAATCAAGATTTTATCCACAATGAATGATATTACCCAACCCTAAGGATTCTGCCAATATAGACACAAACCTATCTGCCATTTATAAACAAAATATCTAGGGGCATGTCTAATATTTTTTGGCTGAAATCCTGATTTTAGTATTTTAAAAAATTGGTTGATCAAGTCATTAACAACACATATTATAGTTGCATTTAAACTGTCTTTACTTAAGGATATTTTATACATCATTTTTTATATCAACATCTCTATTTAAACTTTATTCAGAAGCTTTTTCTATGCTTATGGGACCCATAATTTTCTTATCAAATTTACAGAAATAACCATAATAGATGTATATTAAATTAAATGCATTTCATAAAAAAATGTTAAGATATTTCTCATTTTATTATCTTTATATAATTATAATGTATATATATATATATGTCAAACCTTCTTGGTCATTTGTTTTTCACAAATATATTGATCAATAACAAATGTTTTCCATTAATTTTTCCCCCTTTTTTCCATAAAAAAATAAAAAATGTACAAATCCATCTATGCCCAAATAAAGACTTATCATTTCATATAATATATTATCTCTAATCTCCAGCAAAGCTTTAGCAATCAAATTACCTTTTATATTACGTAAAGAAAATATATAATACAGTATAATTTTTCTGTAACACTAAATTTTAATGATTCTAGATGATATCATTAAAATTCACCCTTTTGAACTAAATTACAAAGCCCATCAGGGATCCTATTCTCATAATATTTAAAATATTAAAACTTTGTTATCCTTTATATAGTGGTATTGTATGAAAGTGTTTTTCATTTGCACCTTATTTCTCAAGATGGGAAGTGAAAAATCATTGATTTAAATCATGAATTATATCTAATGATTTTTTTTAAAATAATTATTGATTTATGAGCCAATTTTATAAGTTTTACTTTAATTATTAGATTAACACAATGATTCAATTTGAATAAAATGCATAAGTCATTTGATTAATAATAACTCATAAATAAATTACCAGCTATTTATGGGAATTCATGAAAATTCGAAACATCCATTTTACTGATGTCAATATTTTCAAAAAGAAATCTAATTATACTAAAAATCATAGAGTAGAGTATATCTACCTTGTGAATTTCTAACAATATGGCTGTGAACTTTGAAAATACGAATTTATTATTACCATAATTTTAAGATTTATTTATACTTAAATTTAGGAAACTAAGCTTGTTTTTCATAAAATTTCTACTTATTTCTTTTTCGAGTGGTACCAATATTTTTGCTGAAGCTAATTTTTAGGCCATTACGTATAACCCTCCCATTTAAATATCTACAAAAAATCGGTGTAGCCCTAATCATCAGTTGATAAAAAAATCTCCACTGCAACTACCCTTCCACCATCTCTTTTCCCCCAAAATTGTATTCAACTCAATATCGGATTTTGAATCGCCATTTTAAAATCAATCGCATCTAAATTTATTAAGGTGTATTTTTCCCCGATTCAAAATATTATTTTATTTTTTTTTGAATCTTAAAAAAATATAATAAAAGCACTATAAAACAAAATTGAAAAAAAAACACGTAATATGAACAATGTACTATCATCAAATTTAAAAATATTAAGTTTTTATCGTATTTTAAAATATGAAACTCGATGTTTGGCTGAAACCTTGATTACGTTTATAATTTAGTAGCCGGAAAAGCAAAAGAAATTTATTTTGAAAAAAACGAGGAAAGTGAAAAATAACAATGATACCAAATACTTAAAACAAGTCGAAATTAAATCAACTTAGGGGACACGACCTCTGAGAATTATCTTTAGAAAATGTGACATCATAATATAATCCAAATGTAATGTTGGTAACGATGAAAAATTAAAAACGATAAATGATACGGAACTTTTTTAGTGCTAGTTAAGCGATTGTTTAGTAAGGTGTAATATTATTGCTAAGTGCGCTTCCACTCTTGGAATCAAAGATCTATATCCATACTAATGATAGCGTTTTTTTATAAAGCGTCTATTTAATTTGACTAGCATCTTTTTTTGAGAAATAATAGATAATATCTTATCTATCGATTTTTTTCACGCTTTTTAAATTGAGAAATTTTTGAGATGATTATATCAATTTTTTAAATAAATTATGAGAAAGAATTTTATTTTAATTCCTCAACCATCAAGATTCTTGTTTAAATTGACCGTCAAGATAAAACCCCTCCTTCCTCCAACTTTATATATCGCCATGCCATGGCGTATTTATACTAGAGATCTGTAAATCACTGGCTATGTCTATTTTTAAAAAATAATTCCGGGCCGGGTTGGGTTTAAATTTTTAAACATGATATCATTATATTTTATCAAATATATTGATAATATTTTTAAAATTCTTGCAAGAAACAATTAGGACAAATAATTCTTGTGTCAGTTTGGGTTTTTCGGGACAAATAAAAATTAATTTCGTTCGGGATCGGGCCGGGTTTGAAAAATTAGGCTCGATGTTGATCACTAATTTACATAATTTGTTTACCTCCCTCCCTCAGACCTACCTTTTCTTTCATTCATTCATTCTCTTTCTATATTTGTTCTTACATTATTACGAGGATTTATTCAAAATCATTCATCATTTTTTAATATTTTTTCATTTTTATATTATCCCTCGAAACATATAAGAATCCAACTGCAAAGTTCGTTTATGAAAAAAAAAACATTGTTGTATTATAAATATTAAAAAAAAATGTTGAAAAGAATTAAAATAAAATGGCGTTTCTCTTTCTCTTCTTTTTTTTTTGGTTTTTGAGGTTTTGAAAATTTTGATTAATAATATTAAATAAGTTGTAAATTTATTCATACAGTTCGTTGTGGCTTCTTCTTTCTCTATTTTATAAAAATAATCATTCTTTATATATTTCTTAAAATAATAGAAATTTATTTTTGATGTATTACTATTTTTTTGTCAACTGCGAGATAGAGAAGTCAAAAGCCAATTTAAAACACCCCCACCCCCCTTCCCGACATTTTACGATTTCAATTTTTAAAAAAGATTTTATATGAGTTGTTAAAGGATCTAGATATAAAAATGTGGTATCTGTATCTGTATCTAGATAGATTTTTGATTAAATTTTATAATGCAAGAAAAAATTTTTTTTTAATATGCCCTATACAAATCAAACCTGATTTTTTTTTCATGACAGCTCCCTCGAAAAATATTGCATATAGAAATCCCTATTTCTCAACCTCATAGGATTTTCCATCCTATGCATACCTAAACTGACGGTTCATTTATATTCACTCATTCATTAAAACGCATTTCGAAGCTTCGTTGAATACAAATCGGTTGACAAAGCGCCATTTTGGTAAAAATTTTAATGTAAATGCGTATATGGGATAACAAAATGATGCCACCAGCTAATTTGTATTGATACACATTTAAATGAACGAATAATCAGTCTAGGTATTATAGAGGATTCAACTCTCCAAAGTTGTTACTTGAGTACTATAGTTAGTGATGCTAAAAATCGGTTATTTCCGCTTAATCTAGCTCGGATTGAAAAAAAGCTATTTTTCTTTTGATTAGATCAATTTTTTTCGGTGCTTGATGCAAGTCCTAATTAATGCATTGTGTTAAATCTCGAGTGAATGTGATATCGCTGAAGCGATGCGAAATTGTTCGCTAAACGATAGCTTATAATTGCGAAATTTACGCATCGCGAGAGACATCTTGGTAATTAACGCTTATGACTGACTATTGCTTGCGCATATGGTTTTTGGTTTAAGTTTTATAAAAAAAAACAAATTACGCTATAATATGTTACGTATCTCACAACCATAATTTTAAAATGAGGAAGATTAAAATCTTTGTTTTTAAAACAATTAATTCATTTTTTGTTTTAATTCTCTTTAAAAAAATATATAAATACTAGATCAAAAGGATACGAAAAATGAATCAAACAGTTCATAAAATGATTTAATTTTAAATAATATAAAAAAATTTAAGAATGAAATGAAAAAAACAATGAATGATGCCTACAAAAAAAATAATATTTGTTGAGAATTCTTAGAAACTATGGCTCCTTCGACTTTTTTTAAAACCGACTATTTTAAATTGCCATTATTAATTATAAAAATTAAAAATGTAATATATTTTTAAAAAACTCCTAGCCAGGCATATAAATATAAAATCTGGGTTGGGTCGAAATTTTTTTAAATCCGGGCCGGGCCACGCAATTATTACCTCTGCACGTCTGTTCTTTTTATAATCGCATTTTTTATCAAATATAGTTAAACGTGAATTGTTGCTTTTTAATGTCGCCTAGAAAAAGCCCATGTTTTTTAAAATAAAATATTAGCTGATTTAGAGAGGGAAAAAAAATCAAACGTGATCAAAAATACGAATATCAGAAGTGTACCGACACCAATCGCTGTCCTTACAAATACCGATAATTCTTTTTATCGATAACAATGGCCGATGTCGCCATTTTAAATTTTATTTCTCGTTCCTCTTGACTATTATTTTTTACAGCGATTTAAAAAAACGTTTAAATATAATTTTATTTGGAATAATAATTTTTTTTAGGATAATTCTAGAGAACTTTTGGTAGTCAAAATATTCTATTCTAAGTATTTTAGCCAATGTTCTGAGTAGTGTTTTTAAACCCGATTAAGATTTTAACCAAAATAATATTGTGCGAACTTCAAGATATGGCAAGTAAAAGCTTAAACCTTTTTGCCATCTAAGAGCAAAATCACCAGGCTTACATAATATTATTTTGGTTATAATCTTAATAGGGCTTTTTGACAACACTAGTCCTAATAGACCATGAGAAGATCTAAGAGAGATTTATGGATAATCCAAAAAAAATTAAATTTATAAAAAAAAGGAAGGGAATCGCTGTATAAAATAAATGACATGACTGGCAGGCTATATTATTTTTTCCTAAAATAAAAACCCAAAACTAAAATAAATGGTCGCTTTTTTAAAAGAGGCAAAGCAAGAGTTTGAAATTTTTTGATTAACAACGCATGCATATTATTAAAATCATTCGCAATTAACGAAACTTCTAGTTGTGGCCAACGCGATCGGCTTGAATCTTTATTTCATTATAATTATTATGTTTCAGAATAAATATAATTATTATCTTTCAGCTGCCAAAATAAGATAGTTGTTTATGAGAAAGAGAGTTAGATCAAATTATGCCATTTAGACAATTCTTCTTATAGTCCATTTCGATTTGATTTTTTTAAAAAAAGATGTGATAATATATTTGATATTTATTTATTGCTTTTTAGAATTCCTGAAAGTTAGCAATGACGACGAAAATGAGCAACTATCCCAGCACAGCAATTTATATGGATTATCTCCCATAAAATCGTCGATTATTGATTCAACAAAATCAATATCCGATCACTGGAAATCGGTAGCCAATTGTCAATACACCACTAAGAGTAGCCTCAATAATGCCCATAATGGCTTCGATAAATTTCCTAATTATGTAAATTCTTCCAATTTTTTAAAATTACTTCCTAAATTTGTTAGACTTTTTATTTTGTTGAGGAATATGTGAAACAGATTAAAGAGGAGGGAGATTCAAAGGAGAGTGAGGAAGTTTTGTGAATGCGAGTCGGTATAGCATCCTCAAAATAAAAATTCCATTCTGATTTTTATTTAAAACAAAATAAACTTATATTTATAAAATAATTAATCAAAAAATCAAATTCAAACCTTTGGATATCGATTTTGATACAAATATATTCTAGATGATAAAATTGCCTGTTTTTGTGAAGAAAACTTTAATAATCAGTATTAGAGGTCAATCAGCTCAGCCCAAAAGCCCGGACCTAGCTGGGTATAAATATTTTTACAGGCTTGGCCTGACAATTTTTACGGACGGCTTCAGGCCGTTCGACTTTTACAACCGCTCGCAATCGCAATGTGAGCAAATGTCGATTATCATGGGGTTAAGAGCATTTCTCAATAATTTTTTACTTCTTTTTTTAGGCTTATCCAAAATTTATTAGTATTCGATTCAAAATGTTTGACAAAATTAAACCGTATTCGTCGTATACCAATTACTTGCAAATATTATATTCTTAAACTAATTTATTGATTAGGCGAACATAGGTCACTGTCCATATTTTTTGGCACTATTTGGTGATAAAGTGACCGAATCGCAATTCATTCCCATAACACCAAATCAAAATTCATACAAAATATAAGAAAATGAAATTTAAAAGACCAAAGTGAGACTCAAATTTTTTTATTAATCATTTTTGCTCTATGAAAATAATAAAACATTAAATCTACCCGAATTAAAATTCGGCTGTTATGGCGATTTATTCGGATTCGTATAACGAATACCAATCATACAATTATTCGATTCGTACGAATACAAATTATTTTTATCGAATACGAATATCTCATGATTCGACTCTTTTTTTCTGAAGGTATTTACTTCCTCTTCATTTATTACCCCGTAGCCATTTTATAAATTTGATTTCTAATAGCATCTTAATCATATCATTTATTTCTTTTATAATAAATAATATCATAATAAAATATAAGGGTTTTTTTTAAATAAACCACCATTGTGCGGTTTTTTGATTTGGCTGAGCATCAAATTTATCACAAAAAAATTGCCTTTATTTATATTAAAAAAAATACTCTAAATAAAATAAACTGTTTTATACATTAGATAATTATATAATATAAATGAGTATAATTAAGTTAAGACCAACTAAAAATATTTTTAAAAAATTTGAAACATATGTTATGATAATTTTAAATCATGGTACTTTTTTTAAAAAAAATTTTTTTTTTTGAGGTTTTTTTAAAAAATCATATTTTTCCATCGTTAATGATACTACTATTATATTTTTGGTTATTATATAAATTTTGATGGCTTTGAATTTAATATTTTTTTTTTATATTACAAAAAGAGTTCAATATGATCCTTGCTTATCTCTACGGATTTATTGTACTCACAATGTCTTCTCTTTTTTTTAAACTTGGGGAAAAGGACAGATGTTGAATGACCCACGATTTTTTTTAATAACCAATAACTTCTAAGTTTATATGATCAATTTTACGTTTTCACCCCCCCCCCCCTCATATTTTAGTTATAACATTTTGGAATTTTTTTTTAAAAGCGTTATTGGCTCATCATCCATTTTCTTTTGATTTCGGAACAAAAACGAAATAGTTTTTTTATATAACAGTAACATCATAAAATTCTGACTCTTCAAATACGATTATATAGTCAAAAAATATTAAAACTTTTTAATGTGGAACGATTTGACATCACTTTACCAAAATAGCTTCATTTTTTTAGTTGTGTTTATGTGTATGGTAAAATGGATTATAAAAAAATTATCATTATTATGTTAGATCCGATCATTATTGCCAGGGCTATAGCCTAGTTTAGGTCGAGGAAGAGGGTGAAACCCCTCATCAAATTCGCGAAAATATGTCGAATTTTTGTATTCATATCCGCAAATTAGCGATAACTGCAACGAGGTTTAAGCAAACCCTTCATTTCAAGGTCTTCTACTAAAATATATATTATTTTTATTTACCATACTTATTGTTATTAAAATATAATTAAAATAGTATTTGTTTTAAAATGCTTTTCATAATCAAAAAGAAAGTAAGGGGAAAATCTCCAAACTCTCTATAGGGGATTTTATATTTCAAATTAATGGTAACAATTTTTTTAAATATAATGTTTTATGTTTTCATAGTAATCCATCCAGTTATTCTGATCTAAAATGAATGAATATATTTGATATATGTAAAAATAGATTGCGTTAAATCGATTATAGTGAAATTTATATTTTGTTTAACGTTAATTTATTTTATTTTTTATTAAATTTAAATTATTCAGAATTAGAAAATATTGAGGAAGGCAGAAATGAGAATATTACATTAATTCGAGTTGTTATTTTCAGGAGTCAAATCATTCGTTTATTCGGGTTATCCTTCAGTCGCCATCTTTGGAGGAAATAGATTTTTTTTTAAAACCATAATAAGCTATACATGTTCTTGGCACTTCTATATATACTTTTTAAATGTAGTTTAACTTAAATTATTTTGCCAAAATTGGGTATCTAGTACGTACTTTTTAAAAGTTTATAAATTTCATATAAAAATACAAATCGAATATTTGCATTATTCGTATTCGTATAAATCGAATAATTTTTTATTTGTATTCGTACATACTAAAAATATTATTCGATTTGATTCACCGAATATTCGATTCGAAAATTAAATTCTTTTAAAAATGAAAAAATTTTCAAAATTTTTTGTATATTTCTTATTTATAAAAATTATAAAAGATTTACTTGTATTGCGGCACAAATTGAGCGTTTGCTTTTTGCCTTAATTTTTTTAATTTAAAAATTAATTTTCCAAAAAAAAGGATTTGTCTTTGAAAATTATATTTATCGTCTGCCTTTTTATTTCTTTAATCTCTAAATATTCCATTCTAATAATAGGTAAGTAATTTTTTTTAAACATTATTTTATATATAATATTCAAAATTAAGAATAAAAAGGTATTGAAAAAAGCAAACTTTTGCGTTTTTTTTAAAGATGGTTGCTAATGCCTTACGGTAATTTTTCCCAATTTGCACTATGCCATAAATGAATTATTTGCGTTTGAAACGCTCAATTTGTGCGCAATTTTATAAAAGATTTCCATTGAATTTTAGGTAAAATTTGAGCAAAAATTTTTCTTCTTCTTAAAAAAAATCTTCAGGCCGTGATAGGTCGGTTTAATTTGTATACTTTATTTGCTTTTCACTATAGGCTAAAAAGTTTTTGAACAATGAGACACCCTATTTTGGTTTATTTTAAGTATTTGGTAATATTGTTTTTATTTCGTATTTTATTCTCGTTTTTTTGGTTTTTTTCTTTTTGATTATTTTTCTTTCATTTTGTTTTTATTTTCGTTTTTTTTAATTTTTTAATTTGCTATTTTTGGCTATTTAGTATTAAGTCGACCTAGGACACGACTTCAAATATTCAGGATTTTTTTTTCAAACTCTACAAAAATTTGATTACAATTAAAAAGTTATTTATAGATGTGGAAATAAAGTTTAAAAAAATAAAATGTTCCTTAAGGAACATATTAAATATTTGCAAATAATTATAAATATTTACAAATAGTTTCTCATATTTACTAATAATGTCGGATATTTACGATAAATTTTGAATTATACGAATAATTTGAATAATGGATAAATAATTATTCGAAGAAACATATATTTTCCTTATTCGTATTCGATTTGAATTTTGGAATCGAATAATTTTGTTATTCCTATTCGTAAAATACTTATCGAATAACGAATAATTCGTTTGGTTTAATTATGTGTAATGTCGGAAACATAAAACGAATCACTTTATATACTAATTATTTGCCTATTCAAAAACGAACTGAATAATTTACTGTTCGTTACCGAATAAGAATAATATATTTTACTATTCATACGAATATTTCATTCTTCTATTCGTATTAATACTATCGGTTTATGAATATATTTTTTGGGATCTAGATCTTGATAATAATAGTGAATTCAAAATATTTAAATTATTTTTGCACTGGCCAGCAGATGTCGTGTTATATAAATGTTATCTACGTAAAAAATTAATTTTTTTTAAAAAATATAATATTCAAACCTTGATTTTTTGGGTTTAGGGAATTTATTTAAAGTCAATCGTATATTTCTTATTTGAATAAAAACATTGGCCAAAATTTTTGAAGGAATAAATGAAATGTTGAAATATTTGTATTTTATTTTTTAACATCAGATTAATTTTTAGCCTCGCGCATCATGTTCGGGATTATTGACTTAAAGCAGTCAACGACTTTTTGCCTTTTTAAAGAAAAATAGATTTGTAATTTCATCTTAAAAATTACAAAATATTTACTTACTAGGTAATAATCCATCAAGAATGACGGGGTTGAGGGGTAATTAGTTAGTTTGTGTATATGGTACTAAATATGCTTTATATTAAAATTTAGGAGAAAAAGAGGTAAAATTGTTGCAATGTAACCCGTGAGCATTAAGGGTATTAGAAATGTCAAAATTTAAATTTGTGATAGGAATCATATTGGGTAAAATTAAAAATAGAGATGCTTCAAAATTTTTGAATTTTAAATATGGGCTAGACATTGGCCTCAAAATTTTGTTTTGCAGACACAGCTAGGCCTCCACGTCCCATGCAACTTTCCCAAAATTCTGCCATTTATTTCTATTGTAATTTAATATTAATTTTATATTTAGAATAAAATTTAAATTTGTGATCGAAAACATATTGAATAAAATTTAAAATAGAGATGCTTGGAAATTTTTTAATTTTAAATATGGGGTAGACATTGGTCTGAAATTTTTTTTGCAGACATAGCCAGGCCTGATAAAAAAACCAAGTCCCTTGCAATTTTCATAAAATTTTGCTATTTATTTCTATTGTAATTTAATAAAAATACCTTAAATTTAATTTTATATTTAGAATAAAATTTAAATTTGTGATAGAAATCATATTGGGTAAAATTTAAAATAGATATGATGAAAATTTTTTAATTTTAAATATGGACCAGACATTTGAAATTTTTTTTCTCAAACCTGGCCAACCCATAATAATTATATATTTTTTTCCCAAGCCTGGAGATATGTAAATCTCTGAAAACAATATTCTTGGGAAAATTTTCTCAAGCCCGCCAAAGACCATAAAAATTTTGTTAGTTGAGAACTGAAATAAGATATATAAAAGTCATAATTCATTTAAAAATAAAATCAGAATATGAAAGTTGCATGGGCTTGGTTTTTTAATCAGGCCTGGCGATTACTGCAAGAAACAATTTTTCAGGCCAATGTCTAGCCCATAATTAAAAAATTTTCAAGATTTTATATTTTACACAATATGATTTCTATCACAAATCTAAATTTTATTCTAAATATAAAATTAAATTTAAGACATTCAATAAAAATAAATGGCAAAATTTTATGAAATTTGGATGGGACTTGGTTTTTTGATCAGGCCTGGTTATGTCTGCAAAAAAAAATTTCAGGCCAATGTATAACCCATATTTAAAATTCAAAAATCTTAAAGCATCTCTATTTTAAATTTTGATATTTCTAATACATGCTCACGCTTTTTCTCCTAAATTTTAATATTTATATCAAATTTATTAAAGTATATTTAGTACCATACACACAAACTAAATAATTACCCATCAACCCCGTCAGCTAGTATGGTAATAAACGGCAGAATTTTAAAAATGTCAGCTATTAATAAATATATATAATTAATTTTTTCAATTTAATTATATTCAAGTTGGTGCATGCTTAAACGTGCGACTTTGAAACGGGAGGTTTGTGGTCGACTCTCGTAGAGAGCAAAAAAATAACATTACACTATATAGTCTCCTTAAATTTTAAATACATTAGGAAGATACGAAAACGATCATGTTTTGATCAGAGTTGTTAAATGCTACTTTTAAAAGTAACGCGCTACCGCTATCGCTATTTGTCAAAAAAGAGGGAAAAAAAGTAGCTCGCTATTAGCTAGCTACCTTTTTACAAACAAATTTTTTATTTTTTGCTTATAATGTTATTGTATAGTAAATATATAAAAATCAACATTTATAAATATTAAAATATAGTAAGTTTTGATTATAAAAAAATTTATGTAATAAAAATAAATATTTATGGTTGTTGCATTTTAATAATAAAATCATTTCAATATTATCATCCCCAAGTCTAGAGCGACGATCAGAAAGTATAAATTTTACCTTATTAAATAATCTCTCGACACTAGCACTTGAGGGTATTAAGCTTATATACATATTTTTAATATAAGATAGATTGATTATCAATAATTTTATTTGCAAGTACATCGTATGTCTGGCATCCCATTATCATTTTGAGGGCTAATGCCACAAATCTTCTTTTTAAAGTTCTAGGGTCTAGCCAATGGCCTGTGATTCCCAAATAAGCTCAAAAATATTTAATCAGATCAATTTATAAATATAAATAAGTTTTTATCCTTCTGTTATGTGTTCAACTATCTCCCGTGGTACATATATATGATATCTCTAATAACTCTACTATTAGAGCATCTTTCATCATTTTAAAGTTATCTGCTATTTTATTCATTGGTGTCTGGCGGCATAAAATTGTTGTACCAGGGGATAGAGTTTTAATCATTATGGTAAATGATGGATTATCAACTAAGGACATTGGCTGAACTGTATAATAAATTATAAAATCAACAATAACTATCAGCCAATTTCTGAGAAATATTGTCATTTGCATAATTAATTAATTTGGTTTGAATTGAATTAGTCCTTTTGGATGTAGAGTCGCCTATACCATTTAGATGTTTCTCCATTTCCTTAAAACTTATGAACAGTCTTTAAAATAAATATTATTAGAATGTAAAAATAACAATTTACCTTTAGGTCTTTCTTGAGGTTATAGCTACTGGATTGATTTGAGGAAATATTTTTTTTACATTTAAACAAATAAATTTGAAACCAGTTTTGGTTATATATTTATTTAAAAAATTTTTCAAATCTAGGGAATGGGAAATTTGTATTATAGCTATTAAAAACATTTTCTTCCCTGGTATCTTCCATTTCATTAATATCATTGTCTGAATCACTTTCAACGATTTGGATATCCATAGACGATGACATTTTAAATTATTAACACGTGATTTAGGTTTATAATACAAATGAAAATATAAATTACAAATTGAAATTATATTTTAATTTCAAAATTAAATAATAAATCATAAAAATTATAATTAATTATGATATCATATTTAAATTTTCATGTTTATACTTACCTTCATTATATTTTTTAAAAGTAGCGAAGTAGCGGCTAGTTACTTTCAAAAAAGGTAGCGCGCTAAGAAATTAAATAATTACAAAAAAGTAGCCGCTATTAGCTATAGCTACCAAAAATGTTAGCGCGCTACCTTAACAACTCTGGTTTTGATAATGGAGATTATATATATTATATAATGCGACCTAATTGAGCATTTTCGAAAAAGAAATAAGCAAACCAGTTTGCTTTTTTTAAATATTAATATTTATAAATTGTGATCAATTTTGAAACCATTAAAAATGCAATAATTGCGTTTTGCATAACGAAGCGCAAACGCTCAATTAGGTCGCACTATTATAAAAGATTTTATGCTCAAAATTTTTTTGAAGTATGATAAAATATCTTCTTTTTTTGACTAATTTTATAGTTAACCCATCATATAATATTTTAAAAGATAACTATAAAATAAATATATATTAATATGCACTGTGTTGAACATTTTTGGATAAGGGGGTGCCCTGATACGCATACATACCCTGCATTTAAGTCATTGGAAGGAAAGAAAATTATGGAAAAAGCAATAGCACATATTTTATCAATAAATTTAAATATCATAATTATTTATTTGAATATTTTGGCCGGCTATAACCGGTGACAAGATTTATGTTAAAAAGAAAGAAAATTATATGTCGAAAGAAATATTTATATTATTGTAAGCTTCTTTTTTATTTTACATATAAAGGCGTTTATATATTTTTTTTTCGCGATTTTATAAATTGATCCCAATCAACCTCTAGTTCAATGCAAAAATATTATTATTTTTCTAACATGGTGAAATGGGGGCGTTTTTTTTTGCGCTTTCCATTGAATACAAAATAAATATGGTGTATTGTAAAAAAAAATCCTTTCAAAATTGCGCAAATACCGTTTATTTTTTAAACAACTTATAGCTATAATTCTAAGTTATCAAAAAAATAATTGGACGTAATAATATTTTTGCACAAGTTGTCCGCCTCAGCTTAAATAATATTTTCCTCGGTTTCGGGACGCGCCGACCTCAATTGCAAGCGATATGAAAAAATTATCGTCTCCTTATTAGTTGGATAATACGCCCCATTGTACGATTTATATAAATATATATTTGTAGTTTTAATTTTTTTTAAAAAAAAAATATGACTACCAAACGCTCAATTTTTCAGGCGTTAGAATAGTATAGCCTCAGGGCCTCGTTTATGGTAAACCGCGAAAATAGAGCGATACCGACTAGCAAAATACATTATGTTAAATTGTACAGTTCTGCTATCGTTTATTAGTCCTAGATTACCCATGGCTTAACCATAATCGCATTTACTATAAAGTATAAACACTATGAACGAGATCCCGGGCTGGGCTTCTAGATATTGTTGTTAAACGGCTAGCTCTATTTGAGTCCATTTTTAAAAATGGCTAACTCAATATTATAGTCAGAAAAATTGGCTAAAGTTTCGAGATTTCGCTAATAGATGTCCAAACCTTTGTGCCAGAGCAAAATCTTCAGGCTTGCTTAATATTTTTCTAAATAAAATATTCAGTTATTTTTAAAAATTGGCTCAAATCGAGCCATTTAACACTCAGGTGAAAAAAATAGTAATTACGGGCCGGGGGCTAAAAAATATGACTTTCATCAGGTTTCTGATATTTTTGTTAAATATTATCCTATTTTTTTGAGATTTTGGTATGAGATTTGTTTAGTTCAACGTAGCAGCAGTCCTTTTTCCAATTATGAATATGAATTGCCACAACCTATTTTTAAAAGAGTTTTTTTTTTTGCTATTTTTACTTCTATTTTATTTCTATTTACCTATGGCCGGGTCGAATTTTCTTTTAATAGGCCTCGGATATGGCGTTTTTAAGAATATTAAACTTTATATACCCATCGGAATTTTATATATTTTTAAAAAAATACGGGCCTGAAAATATAAAACAGGGCCGGGCCGAAAAAAATTTTGAAAAAAAAATGGGGCCGGGCCTACATGTCTTTGATATTGATAATGAATAGGAAAATTATATTTTAAAGCAACTTTAGGCTTCTCAGGGTCTAGCAATTTTATTTCTAATGCGGACCATAGCCAAAATTTAGGCAAGCAATCTTTATAATTTTTTTTTTTACTAAAAAATGTTAGAAACGAATCTGGGTTTTTCCAACCATGCTCGTTCTTTAACCGTATGCATTACATTAGAACCATCGAGGATTATAGAAGGATATATTTCCTAAAAGAATGATTATTTTTTGATTGGCTGACTTTCCTAAAACGTCAATTATTATATGATTTTTAAAAAAAAATAACATTAAAGTCATCTGCCGAGAATCTTCCCCGTGAATCCTCGATCACGATGAAAAGGGAACACGACCTATACGATTTGGATCTTATGTTGGATCCGAATAATCTATTGCTGTTTGAGGGCGAAGAAGAAAACAATGCCAATCATTTTATTGTCGGCGCTGATAATATTATCTCACCTACGATCTTCGATTATATAGGTCATACGAATTCTAATCCTCCCAGTATTAACAGCCAGGTTTTGTTAAATTATGATTTATTAATACAATAACCCAATGGCGTTAGTTTTGATCATAATATCGATTATAATCATAACTTCTTGTTTCAATGTTCTTTTAAATAAATCAATTTTTTTATGCATAATATCTGCCACTTACGCAGCAACTTTCTTATTCCTCCGCCATTAAACCTTCAACATTGCCTTCGCTCTATTCTAGACCTGAGTTGATTCACAAAATTAAACGCGACTTTTCTATCCCCCAAAATAACGCGTCTATTCAGGACACTTCACTGCCCCCAATAAATCAAAGCCAGCTTTTTACGCTTGAGTCTCGCGGTTGCCCTCCTATTGGCCTTCCCCGCTCCGCTAGCGATTTTTACCAAAACCTGGAAGATAATGTACACCAACATATTGCTAATTCAGGTGGCACACATTTAAATTTAGTCCCGAGCATTAATAGCTTCAGCAGCATAGATAATCTGGAAGCACTGGGTTTGACTCAAGACCAGCTGGGAAGCATGGGACTCATGCCCGCCCTGGCCAAGGACCGTTCCGGAAAATCGCTCATCGTGAAAATTCCTTACGTTTTAAACCACCACCAGAATTTTTCCAACTCAAACAATCCATTAAACATGTTAGACCCAACCAATTACCTCCAAATTAACAGTGCTGATCAACATTTTGTTAATTACATTAACAGCAGTTACAATTCGGACCACAGCAGTTCTCTTTCTAATGCGGAGGATACCAAAGATGCGAAAGTATTCCTTGGGATGGATAATCAAAATGATAATAGAATATCGCTGGGGACGTTAGTCGACGATTTGAATGAACGTAAAGATATGTTAGACTCTTCCTCTAATTCAAGATTTTCGATTTCACCCCCCGATCTTATTAAACCAGCTTACAAGTAAATATTAATATATTTCTTATATTCTAATCTTTGATCCTTCTTTTTGAAAATGGCAATTTTTTTTTACTTAGTACTCTTGTCTTTGGCTGCTAAGTTAAATATACCATTAATAAATAAAATTGTTCTTTCCTTTATGTAGTTTGTATGTAATTACTTAGATTAATCGAGCCATTTGATGAAATAAATTTTTTTAATCATTCATTACCTCCTAGACTTCATAAACGAAAAACTCTCCTGCAAGACGACGACCCAAACTCACTCGCAAATAGCGCCAATTTACCTTCCTCTGGATCTAAATGCGAACGCAAAGACAAACGTTTGGCCCACAATGCCATAGAAAAGAAATATCGCATCAGCATAAACAGCAAAATCAACGAGCTCAAGTCCCTGGTCATGTCGCCTCGCGACCTGACTAACGATAACTACGCTAATTCTAATGGCTCATCCGCGAGTTCCAAGCTTAACAAATCCTCCATCCTTCAGAAGGCCGTCGACGCTATAAGGTCAAATGCTTGTTTTTATAATTGTTTCATAACGGCGATTTTCTTAAATTTTCTCAGTGTTGTTTTTTTGGAAAAACTACTGCACTCCATACAACCCTACTCGTTTGAAAGGATTTATTTACACAAATATTACCAAAACTAGTGATGGGGGGGGGGGGGGTCATTAAAAAAGGATACATTATTTTTTTCAGACATATTATAATGATTGCGAATACAAATTCTCAGCACCTTTTTTTGGTATGATAAATCATTTTGTGATTTACTTTAAAAGAATAATCGCCATATATGGAAAAGACCTGTAATAATTTAACCCATCAGAGATATATTTGATTTATATTTTCATTTCTTTCGCTACTCCCCAAAAGGGTTCTACAAAGGGATAATTTGTCACTGAAAAAAGAAGTATCACACCTAAAGCGACAATTATCGGCTTTGCAACAGCAGCAAAGCAACGTCAATCATAATAACGACCTAGCGATAGGGGCTAACGTGGGAATCGATGGAGGAATAAATACCAATTTTGTTTCCCTAGCTCAAAACGGTGGAGTAGTGGACGAGCCCTTCATGCGTTCCTTATTAGCCAAAAGTATCCCAGAGAACCAGAATAATAACAATAAAGCTTCCTCTGCTCAAATGGTTCTTCTCATACCCGCTTCTAATAACGTCGCCAACAATAATATAAGTCATAGCTTCCAAATATCCAATCTACCAGAACTTGGAAACTTTACCGATTTATCCTCTTTAAATAACGAAGAAAAAAATAACTTGTTGAATCATTTGATGGTTCCTCAATTCAACGGGAATTTTGCATCAAACGATATGCTCAATCGTTACGTACTGCTACCCAATAATTATAGCGGGCCTCAATCCCTCAACAGATCGACCGACAATAACTCGAATAATATTAACAATACCAATAAAATTGGTATAGTCAGTATCAATAATAATGTCGCGCCGAACCCTACTTTGGTGCGAGAATCGGTGCAATTATCATCTAACTGTAGCAACAACAATTTCCTGCACAGGAGTCTTAGTGTAGGCGATTCGAATCCCAATATTAATACCAAGATAAATAACGCGCCAGTGCCGATAACCTTGCTTTCTAACAAAATCCTAACAGCCATCAAGATGAAACGCAATCCCTCCTCCCACTCTGCTATTCTTACTCTGCACAACTCCTCGTCTTCATCTTCCCTAACTAGCAATACCGACGGGGAAGGACGGATTAAGCATCCCTCGACGCCCTCCGACTCAAAATCAGCCGCCGTTAATGTGATCGCTTCTTCCTCCCACCCTCCCCCCGCTTACAACGAAAATTTCTCCCCCGATAGTACCTGCAAAGATGAGGACCAAGTTACATCAGTCGACGGATATTCTAGTTCCCCCGTAGCTAACGACAACTACGATCCGAATATTGGAGATAGTCTGGAGTTTGGACAGAAGCTGAAAAGGATCTGTTTAGGACTCTCGGATTCTTCCAGGTTTGTCTTGTGTTGCGTGAGCGCTTTGGCGCTCCTTTTCAATCCTTTCAAATTCCTCGCACCTTATTTAAATACCGCGGGAGGAGAAAGGGGTGGAGTTGGAATGGTAGATACGGATTCGAGGCTGTTAGGAGCCATCGGTATCAATTTCAAAGGCAGGGATATTAAGAGTCTTTCTTCCAAGAATTCTGGATCCTTGGAAGATAATTTGCTATTGGAGGGTAAATAATTAATTCGTCTAACATTACGTTTTGTTTGTATTGGGATATCTATGAAAATCTTTTTTACCAACTAAAACTGATTCTTTTTTGATAGTTTTGTGATAAGGCGACATTTATAGTAAACTTAAACTCCGTTACCTTAGACTAATTTATTTTGTATATTTTTCGTAAACCTTGACAATGAAATAAATTCTTTCAACAATCTTTCGAAATAGACCAAGCCTTCGCTACTGTGTATGCCTCTTCCCTCCTACCCTTCTTCCTCAATCTCGTCTTTTCATTGGCTCTTTTTTTACTAGTAACCTTTACTTCCAACGAAACATCATTCTTCAAAAGCAAATCCAATAAAGGTCACCCAAATTATGCCAAATGTAAGAAGAGCCCAAAAGTATTAAAATCTGAAACGTCATACGATCATGGTGGAAGGGAGGAATTATCCGCTGATCCATCATCGAAATCGCGGGTTTTAAAAATAAAATGATACTTTTTAATAAGATTTTAAAATTAGGTTTTGAATCTACCATATTGATATTTTATAGTATTTTGGTATACCGAGGATTCATTCATTAAAGTGCATTTTGAAGCGTCGTTAAATGCAAATCAGCTGTTGGCACTCCATTTTTGGTTTCCCATAGAAAAATTAATTTTGGGAACCAAAATAGTATGCCACCTACTGATTTGTATTGATGCATATTTAAATGAATAAATTATCAGCCTAACTGTATTATTATATGTCATTTTAATTAGAAAAACAGATTTAAATTACATTACTACTTTGCTATATAAGTAAATATGTATAAAATCTATTCACACCTTTCGCCTTATTATATATATTTTCTTCTCACGTTTTTAAATTAATATTAAAATAAAAAAAAATAAGGACCATTTTGATTTTGCATTGGCGAACATCAATCGAGACCTCTCTAATCTCGGCTGCCGTCGCTTACCACGCAATGCCATTTTAGGGCTTTCGCTGTCGTGTTGTTGGCAAGTTTGCGTTTTATTTATAAATCGTCTGACATCGGTCATTGCAAATTTCGGTCAAACGTCGCACTCGGATACACACCTACGCAAAATGACACTATTGAGAAAATTCGCCGATATTTTGGTGTTGGAACATCGTTATCAATCTACAATAATTGGTTTTTAAAAAATATATTTATTTATTAAATATCCATAAAATAATCATTCAATTGTGGTCACTTTTTTGTCAGATACGAGGGTTGATAGAGACGTCCATGATATAATCTTTATTCACAATTTTCGAATTGTATCGGATCGTCCCTGGTTTTCGCTATTTAAGATTCGGCCGGTTTTGTGAATATTTTTTAAAAAATTTAATGAGGAGTTTATAAAAATTCTTACGACAGCAAAAAAAAATATATATATTAAAATTGCATTCTACGTTAATAAGAGAGTTAATAAATATGTTTTTTTATAGGACTTAAAGGAAAGAAAGAAGGAAGGAAAGAAAGAAAGAATATACTATTTTAATATTATTAATGTAGTTCGTATCAAGATGTATCTTTGGAAGCTTTACTTCACTCTCGCCTTGTACAACGTATTGAACGAACTATCCATGACGACATCGCCTATTTGTTTTTCGTCTTCCTTCGACATATTTAAATCGTACCTAACCCTGGGTTTGACTTATAAAATATCTTTGCCGCGTTGGGTTTGGAATTCCCAGAGGAGGAAGAAAAAATTCTTGGTTTTTTTTAACTAAATACATTTTCATTTCATTTTTTAAAATTAGAAATTGATTATTCACTAAATTCTAAAAATATATTTAATGTAAATCGCCATTTATTCTCTAAAATACGAAAGTATATAACGTTGAATTTATAGTAAGCGCAATACGCTTAAGCGATGCGAAATTAATCGCTAGCAAAATCACAGCTGATTGTTATCATCTCATCACAATATATGTTTTTCAAGCGATTTTATCATTTCGCAGTATTTATAATTTATATCTATTGGCTTGATTATGTAAATTTACCTAACGAAAAACGCATTAGCGAATCGCGCATACTATAAATGCAGTACAAGGCTAAGTCCATACTATAGCCTTATCGCATTCGATTAATTGAGCGTTTTGATAGACATTATAATGGAAATGAAAATTATCCCGAATTTATAGAATTATTAAGCAGACGATAAAAAAGTTAAATTCTAATTTTTTATTAAGATATATTTTGCAACTCCTGTTTATTTGGCTTGCTATCTTTTAACATTATTTGCGAGAACTTTCTGCTATGGTCTTCACCCAAATAATCTGCTTAATTTTAGTTTGTTGGAAACAAGGATATTGTTTATGTTTAAATTAGTCGTCAGCGGGAAAGAACGTTTTACTATAATTTCAGTGAGGTCTAAACATTAATACACTCCATTTTTTTATATTATACATAGTGGCATCAAGTTGATGGTTATTTTTGAACTTGAACTCTTATACATATTTGAGAAAGAACCATTTTATTTGAAAATAAATGTCAAATTTTTTTAAGGAATGGTGTTTGAACAGAGCCCGCGACAATTTAGAACTGACTCACGATATCCGTTACGCTTGGCTGGATAGCATGGTAGCGCGTCACGTATTCGCGAATATCGTCGAAACGGATATGGATGGTAGGAAAATAATCCAACTTAAATTTTTGTCTGATTGACGTTATTGATAAATTTAAGATTGGTAGTTTATATTAATTTTATATATTGGGTGTTCTACTTGTCAAATATATCCTTTGATAAATTTAACTTATCTGAATTTAGGAAAATGTATGATTATTTATCGTACAAATTAGCTATTTTTTATTTTATAACGAAAAAAAATGTATTTTTCCCTTAATATTTACTCCCAACATCTCCCCCTTTTTATTGTTTCTACGCATATTCCATTATTATAAATTGTAAATAATAATTATTAGACACGTTTCCAGAACATCTGGCCGAAGGCGTGTCTGTCAGCGATACCCTTAGCCGTTTCGCCAGACGTATCAAAGCGGAAATATTAAAATCGACTTTTCAAATCCATCTATCACCTCCCATTAATGAAGTCTTGGTTAATTTGTCTCTTGTAAGATTTTAAAAGTAGTTTTTAATTTAAGATATAGATCTGTCACGTATTATACTTTTTAACTTAGAGGTAATAAAATGATTTAAATTTATCTTTTCCAAGCACATCTGGGTCCTATACTCGGTTATCTTTTTTAGTCACATGACAGCTTTTTTCAGTAACACAATGACTTTTATAAACCCCATTTTGTCCTTGTTCAATATACTAATTAGATGAGGATATTTATTTATACAGTTATCTATTGTATTTATAAAAGAATACTATTGTGACTTAAACAAATTATGGGTCGCGTAACTTGATTTAATCTTTGTTCTTAATTCTCAATTCTATTTCGAATAGTGGACACCATTTTTTGGTTTTTTTTTAAATTACAGATTTTGACATCAAATGATAAAATCTGTTAAATCTAATAATCACTATTCAAAACATATATTTTGAATTCTTAAAAGAAAGACGAACTAATCTTTATTTTTTTATTGACTTTAAGAGTATTCCTGGTCAATTTTATCTCCTCTATTTTCGAACATGATATTATTTAAAAAAATCTTAATTAAAAAACAATAAATAAATAGGATCACGGGAAACTCGCAGACACGCAGAACTTTCTAAGCAGAACTTTCAAGCCAGTCAAATCTGATTCCACTCTTAAAACTACTCGGATAATGACTAAGCCCAAGCCAAAATTCTGTGGCGACGAAATCATAGTCGACATTTTGCGACAATCCGCGTGCCTGGACGTGGAAAGAAACTTGCCCCATTTACTCAAGCATTTGCTTCTTTTAGGTGGCACCCGTGTTAGTAACAACAACGCGATATCCAATGGCGCCCTTAAGACTCAACGTGGCATGGATCACCTGATGAATTCGTATCGTCTTGACTTGGCCCAAAATGAATCTTACGCCAATGTAGATAATCGACTTTCGCACCCATGCCATCATCATTATGCCGATATACGCCACAATGCAGCTCCCATTTTTAATTTCGATTGTTCCCGAGATAAAAAGTGTTGTGATGAGCCATTCGGCTCTCAGGAAAAGGCGTTATTGGATCTAGTGGGTAGAGATCGATATTGTAGGTGGTGGACGACGGCTTTGATATTTAGTCATCTCTTGGAGTTTGGTAAAAAGATTGTTAAATATATTATAAAATGTCCAAATTTTTTAATTTGCCTATACTATATATAAATATTTTTTTATAATTTAAATCTTAAAATCATTAATTTTTTTCATTTTCAAAAATTTTGCACTTGGAGCATTCAATTCAGAACCGATATGTTTGTCATTTTACTAAACCTTTAACGGTTAAAAGTTTAAAGTTGATAACCAATTTATTATATAGTCTGTTTTCTATTAACTACTTTATATTATAATATTTTCGATAATAGAATGCGATTTGGTTACCCTCACATATTTGCACGACAATTTATTACAGCAATACGAAACCACGTCGAAAGGACTACTGACTAGCGCTCTGCTAAATTCGCTTATGGGCAAATTTTACATCAAAGTATATCATTTGTAGTGTTATGTATATTACCAATATGTATAATTTATAAAATGTTTTCTCTATATTTTAAATTAATTTTTGCCAATTACATTTTTCAGCTGTCTCTCTATAATAATAATAATATTAAAAAAACCCATCTAGATCAAAACGATGTCTTCCAAAATTCCTCCACGCGTCAACGCGAATGCCACCATTTTCGCGCCGATTATGGGCATGGATCTGACTCAGCGAGTTACGGCATTATGCGAATCTTCCCAAACTTCTCTTGAAACGTTTCTCCTTTCCCTCAAAAATGACAGCAAATTGAGGACAAAAAATTTGCTTTGCGAAGTAAATCCATTTTTCCCTCATTAGAAAATTGAGATATAGAAACCTAAGTAAATTAAGTAAAATGGGAAAAGGGAACCTTAAACCGTCTATTTATTATGTTCTATATTTATCAGAGACCTGCAGGATCCGGGCTGGGCCATATATTATAGAACCAAATATTTGAAATCCCATTATTAGCTATAAAAATCAAAAATAAATAATATATTTTAAAAAATTCCGGGACGGGCCTGAAATTTTTTTTAAAAAAGAAGCAGGGCCGGGCTTTAAAATATAAAAGCCGAATTTTCAGGTCTCTGATATTTAACACGTTTATCAACAAATTTTTAAATATTTAGGGTGTTTTAAACCCCATTTTACCTCTCGAGAGTTTAGGTTTTGTCTTTCGATTACTAATTTAAATTTATTTGGATATGAGCACTAGTGATCTGCATCAGGCCTAATTTTTCAAGCCCAGCTCGGTCTGAAATTTTTTCAAAAAAGTTTTGTCGGCCCGGCCCGAATTTATTTAAATATAGAAATTAATTTTTTTTAAAAAGATTATAATTACTCAAAATAAAAATATGTCATATGGCGTCTAGTTTCTATAAATTAAATTAAATAAATTTATTTTACATAAAAAATTGATAAATTTAAATGTATTTTAAAAAAAAAATTCTAGGCCCGATCCGGCCCGAAAAAAATATTAGGCCCGTACCCGGCCTTTGCAGATCTCTAATGAGCACACGTAATATTAGTTACGTTTTTTTAAATTAAATTACGTTAAACAAATAAAGTACACCTGTTTATTGATTTGCGATATCAACCTAACCGTTATGGAAGAAATAATGATGGATAATATGGAAAATCGAGTGATTAGAGGCGAAATCAATCGTGTCGTAGAAAACTTTAACGTCGCTCTTCAAACTTTCTCTAATTTAGACGCTTGTACAAATGATGAGCGCAATATTAATATGAAAGTTGGTATTTTCGTGTCTATTTTATATTTATTAGTTTTAGTATCCTATCTATATTGTCATCTGGAATAAGTACTAGATAATTCTTTAAATTTGCGTCGAACGCTGATACAGGGCAAAAATTATAAGAACTCTCACCTATTATCATTTGTTATGCAATTTAACTTAACCACTTGAAAAAAAAAACACGTATAATTTACCTTATTTATCAATCTTAATTATTTTATTTAAATTACAAAATATTAATTAACCAAGCTCGCTTACCACAAAATCATGTCACTCCTATTAGCTGTTCGCTTCCAAAATATTAAAAGCGATTCTTTCGCCAATCGAACAGAAATTATTCATTTCATACAAATTTATCTCGGAATAAAAATCACTTTAATAACTTCGCCAGATTCCGTAATCGCGAAGGGAAAAAACGCTGGAATCGAGGCTATAGCTCTTGACCTTAAAGATCACCTGGTTTTGCAATCCGAGCCAGGTATATGTTTAAAGATTGTCCAAATTCTTTTTTAAAAGAAGGGGGAGTGGGCACAGTCAAAAATATATGGGTGATAAAAGGTGAACTTTGTTTTCTCTGACTCCACTAGTGTTAAAGGTCTTGACTATATTTTAGCCAAGATAATATTATCCAAGCCTCGATATTCCAACAAAATATGGCAGAAAGGTTACTGGCCACAGTCTAAGGTTTAACTATTTTTTTAGTTAAAATCTTGATTTAGCCGTTATTTTTTTAAAAAAAAAATTGATTTAATCGAAGTTTTAACAGTACTAACTAGAGGTCTGCAAAGTGATTTTTTCGCGGCCCGAGCCCGACTTGAAAATTTTTTTCAACCCGATCCGACCCCGACTAAATCTTTTTAAATTTGTGAATATTATAATATCCAATAAACATAAAATGAAAGTTTAAGCCATAATATAATCAATATTTATATTAAGTTGCATTTAATTTAAAAAACATATAACTTTTATTCCGTTTAAATATTAAAAAAGTTGAAATATACAATCGAATTTAAAAATTATTGCTATTATATAAAAATAATTGATATAATGAAAATATTATAATGATATATTAATATCATTATCGATAGTATTACATAGTGAATAATTGTGATGTGTAAATAATGGGGAGTCGAGTTGTCAGGCTTTAATATATTCAAAGGCTCTACCAGCCGATGAAAGCGCTCTTTCACTGCTAGCCGAGCAGGGATAGCCAGGAATTTAAGAGCCAGAACACTTAAATTGGGAAAGTCGTTTTGATATCCACCAATTTAATAATTGGTAAACGATTTTAAATATTGAAAATTTGAGGCTATTTGATTAAACCTGTTAGAATATGATGTAAATAAAGATAACACAAAATTATAACAAAATAGTTTGGTAAGCAGAAGTTATGTAAAATAATAATTATAAATTAAATGTTATTCTGATTGACATTTTAATGATTAGTGTGGAAACTAATAAGTTCTTTATGTCCGAATTCGATCCGAGCTCGGTTCGGGCTACGGACAACCCATGCTGACCTCTAGTACTAACTACAACAATCATTAGAAAATATAATACGTCGTTGAAAATCATCGTATATCTCGCTCACTTTTGTAAAATTGAACTTATTTTTTAAATATAAATAATTGTATAAATTTAATTTTATTTTTATATTTAAAAATTTAATTTTGTTAAGATGATTTTCATCTCATGTTTTTATCCATTTTTTTAGCTTTTACACCCCTTTACCTTACCTTATTTTATTATCATTTTAATATTACTTTTTATAAAAAAAAAATAAGAAAAAATAGAGTCACCACGACCAGCTGAAGAGGATAGAAAATTTTTCGAGACTAAATCCCAAGCGAAATTGGTTTTAAGGTTATTTGCCCCGAACCTTCCCTTTGCGTTCCTATTCGCCGATCACTGTAGCGAATCGGATCGTCGCATTTTGGTTAACAGATCCATTCGAACTTTTAAAAGATACGAAGAATGAATTTTTTTTGAATCAATTGTTATTTAGTTCTTTAGACACGTGACATAGAACCAATTTGAAACTAATTTCAAGTCTATATATGATGAGTTGTTAATTATTCCTTATTATTAGATCTTTGCAAATTCTGTAATCGCTGAAGTTTTCATTTTTAAAAAACTGATGACCACTATATATGAATATCTAAAAAAATTATATATTCTATTTAAATCTTTATTCACATTATAAATAAAAAAAAAATTTTTTAAAAAATTAAATTATAAATTTTCATTTTATTTTTTTTTAATACCCCAAAAAAAGTATTTTGGTTAAATTTTCTAATAATAAAAAAATTACAAATTTATACATTTCGCGTTAATTTTTTTTGGTTTAATTTATATTTAAAAATATATTGCAATAATGAGTAATCATCTTTTATATATATATATATCAGATTTATAAAGTATACGGATATTTATTATTTCTATTATTATTTTTTTATCGTTTCAAAAATATCATAATAATTATTTTGTATTACATTTTTTTTTTTAAATAAAAATACAAAATATAGATTTATCTGAAATTACATCAATTTTTCTACATTTTAGTTTTATACTAAATTATTTATTTGAAAAAAAAAATCTTAAATAATAGCAGTACTTAAGATTCGAAAGTCTTTAAAAAAAATTCGCATTAAATTTACCTGTCAAATTTATGTTATGTTATGTACAGCATGCAGCGCAGTACCAATACTTTTGGCGGCCTAGGCAAAAATATTTGGCGACCTTTTAAAATACATCTAAGCATATTTGATAAATTTTCGTAATGAGAACTAAAAACATATGTTACTTTATTAAATTTTAATCAAATGTTCTTTCAGGCGCATTTATTAATTCTGTTATATTGAATAAGAATCAATGTTCTTTAAAGAGCTCTATTTAAATGATGGAAACGTTCCCCCAACGTATTTCTCGCTTGATCTAGTAATCTCCTATTTTTTGGAGGATCATGTATAGGCTGTCATCTCTTTGGTAAGAAAATTGTTTTTGAACCTCTACGAATTATTGTTATCGAAGGGCATTGCACATCTATACTCATTTCCAATTCCCGTGCAACCTCTCTCGCTGGTTCACGGGAATTATGAAAGCCGTTTTCCTTAAAGCGTTCTAAAAAATCTAAACAGTATTTTTTTATTAATCTCAAGTTTGCCATTTTTAAGAGTATTAAACTAGCAAATTAATGATTAAATTAAGAATTTAATAGTCGAATCTATATTAATTAAAATAATAAATGAGTCTAGACTAGAGTAATTTAAAGTGAGTGTGCCTACTCGAAAGGTCTATGTATGAAATGAAGACTATGGTGTAAACTTTTTTGTTTTAAAATTATCAGAATATATAAAAAGTGCCTCAGCGATTGCAACTACAAAAACAGGACCTTTACGAGAAAATAGACCAAATATTTATCAAAATAATCATTAATAGAATCGGTTCCTTATTCAAATAGCATGACGTCATCACGCGAGTTTTTAATTTGTGATATATAAGCTAAGTACGACCTAATCGCGCGCTTACGTTATTTATTTATTTTTCATCATCTTGGGCATGGCGGATCGATTATTTATTATTTTTTAAACCCGTCACAGATTTTTAATCATGTTGCGGCTGACCCGAATTTATTTTAAATAATTTTTTTAGTTGTATTTTATTAATCGTTTTAATAAGGAAAATTTATAAAATAAGCAGAAAATGAGTATTTAAAATCAGAGTTATTTTTTATAATTTTTTTTGCAAAAATTCCTTTATAAATCAATAGTATGTGATTTTTATGCATAAAATATTTTTCATTGAAATCCCTAATTTTTGTTAAAAAAAACTTTTGATCTTCCTTAAAAAAAATCTTGAATCTTGTTTATCTTCGGCTATGTCCTAAATTTTAAAAAAAAATTTCAAAAGTTTTGCGAAATGCAAAACTTTCTTGAGTTTTGAGAGATACGAAACATGTCCCGAATCATACATTTATTTTTAATTTAAAATATATAAAATGTTTGATGTGAATGATTTACTAATTCTATATTTTATATTATTTGAAGATAATCATGTTCATGAGTGCCAAATTTAAACACTTATATAAATCCTCAGAAACTAATATTACTAGTACTATACAAATGTTAAGGCTGACTGCTTATCACAAAATATTATTATTGATATTGAGGGCAATCATTGTACACAAATTAATTATGAAACCCTTATTCCAAAATTTTTATATACATTTATTTTTTAATTACCATTACCTTATATTTCTGATGATTGCTTAAATTTGTCAAAGTTATAGCATTTATTTATAAATATTCAATAAAAAATGTTGTTCTGATTATATTGTATGAGTGATTATTTAATTTAAGGAAGACTGCGAAAATAACTTAAATTACATTTTATAAAAATTCATTAAACATAATAATTTTAATTATAAAAATATACAAAATTATAAATATGAAGATAATAATCAAAATTATCAATATGAAAATAATATACAAAATTATAAATATGAAGATAATAATCAAAATTATCAATATGAAAATAATATACAAAATTATAAATATGAAGGGAAAATTTCATTTTAAATTCAAAAATTTGTTTCGATTGACTATCATTTAACATAGCTTGTGTGTTTGGCTCTAAATCCTAAGATATAGATTATTATATAGTTCTAATTCAAGGTTATAATACTTATGATGATATTTGTACATTTAACATATCTTGAATGTTTGGCTCATAATCCTAAAATATAGATTATTATATAGTTCTAATTTCATGTTATAATACATGTGGAGATATTTGTACATTAATAGCATCCTTAGATTGTTTAAAACTGAAACTTACTTCAGTGTGCTTACATATATCTTCCACATTTTCTTTTAGCCAGTAAAAATCTTCAACAAATTTAAGGTGCTTGCTGTTCATCATAGCAGCACCTGAACCTAAAATATAAAATAATATTTATATAATCTCTTCCCATTTGACTTTACTTGGAGCTGTATATCTATATATAAGATCAATATTACACCACAAATGTCTATAAAGGTCTTATATTTCCCATCAATTGAAATTCGTTCGCCACTTTTATTCACGCGATTTGCAAAAGTTTAATGATAAAAAGATTAAAGTTTTACGATTCCTAAAATTTTTAAGAATCACGTAATTTGTGCAAAATCGAAAAAATCATTTAGGCCAACATTTTAATTTCCCATTAAAAATGGCTTATATTATTTTTTTCGCTAGATTCTCGCAAATTGCGCGATGCAATTTTTGAAGGAAACAGCCGTTTGCCCAAAACTTTTGGCGGAAATAATTTTTAAATGCTCATTTGACGATTTTTTTTTTGTTAAATCCTGGGTTAGATTTTAAATTATATTAAACCTGTTTAATGATGTAATTTGACTTTAATTTGTTTTAAGAAATGGGCCAGCCCAGAATTTGTAAAGAACATATTTTAGACCCTTTAAGCCGGATTCCGTATTTGCTGATTTACGATATTTATTTTAATTATAAAATAAATAATTGCTAAAATCTTTTTAATAACTTATAAATTTTCTCGCGTGATGGACATATGTAGTTTGAATAAAATTTTACGAATTTCTTTTTTAAATTCTAAGTGATGTAGCTAGGATCTATATAAGAGAGAATTCATGTCCAGCCCAAGCTCGTTTAGCCTATTTAAATATTTCACTTATCCTTCCTTCTTTCTTTTCTTCTTTTTATAAATTTAGACAACCCAGTGGTTTAATGTGTAAGAGGCTTGGTTAATGGCTATGTCTGAACCATCCCATTTTTTAAAGGGATTCGAATCTCGATCAGATAAATTTTCCTCTTTCCTTGTATACTCCGATGAGGTATGCATATTATTAATAATCGGCTCGAAACCTCAAATTTAATTTATTTTCCTTCATTAAAAATGGGCCAGACAACCTGTACGAAATAAATATTAATTTTACTGACCGAGCCCGGTAGAAATAAATATGGACAGAGCCGAAAAACCTCCCTTAAATATATATATGTGGTTTGTAGCCACAAAAATTTATGTCATAAAGATAAATTATCATCACTTCAATTTGTATAAAATATTAATATTCTAATTCAATATTATGGATGATGGGACAAAAAAATATGTTTGATATTTTACCTCCTGGGAAAAATATGCATAAAATAATTTTGCCTTAAAACCTTCAAGTTTAGATAAGATACTACTAAAATATTACGTGGTATAATTTCAGATAGTTTTAGGCCAATTATTAATATATTATATTTGATTAATAATATAATTTTTAGGAATTTATTTTTATACCTATATTTTTTTTCTTTAAAGAATATTCATTTGTTAAAAAATATTTATTTTCTTTTTAAAATGAGAATAAATTAATTTTTTAAAATTTTTTTTAATATTATTTAATATAAATGGAAAAGTGGAAAAATAAGGTTGCTTTGGTAACAGGGGCCTCACAAGGATTGGGAAAATGTATCGCTAACACTTTGGCTAAAAATGGGATGATTGTTGTAGCCTGTGATATACGCATGGATGGATTAGAGGTATATAATCATCTTTGCTATTTATTTAATAGAATCCTCCCTCCCCCTCACCTACAAAAGAAAAAAAAATTAACATTTTAAAGTCGTTTTTACATTCAAAAATATATTTAAAATTTCAAATGTAAAATTAAATTTTATTTAGACAAAATATTTTTTAAAAAATAAATGGTCATTTTTCTTTTAAAAATTATATTTCCTATAACTGCTTTAAAGATCGGCTAGATTGGAAAAGGACAGTTAATATATTTTTTTTAAATGACTACCGAAAAAAAATTACTTCCCCGACCCGTTAATTATTTTGTTATGTGGAGGGAAAAAAAATCATGCCCTGAATATAGTGTTAAAAAAATTTTGAAAATTGAGCTAAATCAAAGAAAATATTATCCTGGAAATCTTGTTAAAATGAGGGCTAAAACCTCTATTCAGTTATTTAACCAAATATAGAGACTTATATAATATTTGTATTTGCTGGATAATATCTTGTTTTTAAACAATCACTGATTTCAAGTTCGTGAAAAAAAATGCCAAATTTTGGGGTAGCCTAACCATATTAAATAATTTTGAAAAGTTACCCGAATCACCAACCGAGATTCAGGGTTGCATTTCTCAAATCTATAAATTAAATTTAAATTGACTTTTTTAAAAATGATATAAACTCATTTATGAAAATTTTCTAAAATGTAACTTTTTTTCGGTTTTATAAAAAAATGGCATTTTTTTTGTTAAAAAAAATTAACATGATATTTTAATATTATTGTAGTGTGGGGCCAAACAATTTATTTTATACTGATATGGATTCTCTAACAACTTGAGATTCTTATCATATTTCTAAATTAAAATGAGCGAGCGAATATACGATAGAACAACTAGTTATATACTAGCTAAAAATACAAATATTTCCTAATGACCACCTCAGCTAAATGTTATTTTTTTTTCTTTTTTTCTTTTTTTATAAAATAATTTATATTTTGAATCTTAGGAATC